GCTGGAGCTTGCAGCTAAGTTCTCAATCAACTCATAAGCAGCTTCTTTGGACTTAGTCATGAAATCGCCATTGCTAGCTGCATTCAAAGCATTCCTGTAATCCCAGTTGACACCATCATAAAAGGTTGACAGAATCTGCTCATCAGAGAACCCATGGTGAGGGCACTCTCTTCGGTTCTCCTTGTACCTCTCCCAAGCTTCGCAGAAAGCTTCACCAGGTTGCTGTTTAAACGACGAGATCTTGTTCTTCAGAGCTGCAGTTTTGGCCTTAGTGTAGAAATGGTCCAAAAATGCTGATCTGCACTCTTCCCATGTAGTCAATGACCCAGGTGGTAATGACTTCAGCCAGCGCAAAGCTTTGTCCGCAAGTGAGAATGGAAAAAGCTTGCACTTCAAGAAATCGGCTGGTATCCCATTTGATCCAGTCGTGCTGCAAATCTCCTCAAAATTCTCGATGTGGTCCATCGGAATCTCAGCAGGAAGCCCATGAAAGAGGTGCTGCTTCACCAATGAGATCAGCTGAGGTTTGATCTCAAAGTCTTGCCTCTGAATGGTTGGAGGAGCAATCGCATCCCTGTTGTGATAGTAAGCGTGCGGACTGTCCTTGTCTCCAATAGCAGGCTGTGGCTGCTCCCTGTCTTGCTGCGCCTTTTGCAGCTGCTCCAATTGCTGTCGAAGCTGTTGAACCTCGACAGCCATGTTGCCATTGTTGCCTTGATCGCCCATGTTGGCTTGAATAGGCCTTTGACGTCTGTTTTCTCGCTCGACTCTTGCTAGATCGGTGTTCGACAAAGAAACAAGATCGGTGCAGTTGCTCCTTGTGGTTATGTTTGACATACACCTGAAACACACGCAAACAAGAGAACAAGAGAGAAAAATTAGTAAAGCCTTAGTCTGAATTTCAAACCAAAAATCAAAGGTAACGAATTGGTCCACGGCAACGGCGCCAAAATTTGATTCAGACTGGATATACTCCTAGTTTCTACTGCAATAGAACAATGATGTAGTTGTAATATAAAGGATTCGAAATCCAGAGGACCAGTGTTACTCTATGAATTTGTGAGGATTGAATTAAAGCTAAGACGAAAGATGGTTTGTTTTGAAAACTAAAAAGTAAACAGAATGGCAAACAACGATTTAAATTCAAATTAAAACAAGCACTAGACCAAAGCAATTCGCAGGAATTTCAGAGATAAGAACCAGATGACTATTAAGGGCACAAGTGTAACGCAAGTCTCGAACTCAAACAGAAAAGCTTATCGATCCACTGTCGTGATCTCGATAACTTTGTCTAACAACCTAAATCCTAAACTGTCGTTTGAACCTAGAAAATTGCAGACAAGCATTAGCTAGCAGGTTTGATCTGTTCACGATTTGCCTTAACTTCAACTGTCGTTGGCTAAGGACAAATCGCTCACCAATGTTTATTCTAGCAACCTATTACACTTTTGATGAACAGATTAACCTAAAATCGCAGATTGAGTGATCAATTCAACCTAAGCATTAAGTCTAACAATGGTGAAGACAATAGATATCAAGCCCTATTTGCATCTAATCCTCTAACTCATGAAATCCTTTGAACGCTTTAATCTAGCTAAGAGATCTACTCAGACATGGAGAAAAGAAACACAGAAACAGATGGAAAGGAATTCATGAATTAAAATCGCAGAAGAGATAATAGGGTTCAGAATTCTTCTCAAAGTGTAGCAGATTTCTTCTCCCAAAAGCTTACAAGTAAAAACTCTATGGTTCAGGAAATTTAAAAAGAAAGCGTAGAAGTAAAAACTCCTTTTATTCCTTTCACGCGGCTTGAGATTAGGTAAAGATGTTTTCCTTATATTTCTCCCGTCTGGAGCAGGTGCTCCACGAAGGGTCCAAACCGGGAGCAGGTGCTCCGGGGATGATTTCTCCAAAAACGTGTGAAATAGCTCCTTATTGCTCAAATTCATCTCTTTTTGCTCCAATGCCTCCTAAACACTCCAATCCTTTGATAAGGCCTCTAAGTCACCTGAAACTTCCTGAAAAGACTCCAAAAACTCCTAAAACAATCAGTAAACACAAGTTAGAATGAGTCAAAATCTCCACTCATCAACTTCTCATAGATAAATAAAGAAGAGTAGATAAGTCCTGAGTTGTAAGAGAGACAATAGTCTTGTGTAAGAACTGCAGAGAGTGAAAGGGCTCGATTTCGAGTAAAAGGATTTAGTGGATTCTTCCGGAGATCTTCTCCGGGGAGACGTAGCGACCCGTGTTGGGCGTAAACTCCTAATCTCCTGTGTCATTTACTTTCTGCTCTTACTTACACATCTTCATCAAACACACACGAGTGATCTAAAGTTGAGAGTGAGAGATAATCTAGCTAAAACCGGTAAAAAGGTTTCGACTTTAGTATAGAAACAGAGCATAAACCCTTACAACAACCAATCTGCTCATAAGCAGAGATAAGCTTTGAGATGACAAAGAGATCAGGCACGAAAGAGCTATTTAACATCTCCTCCCAGATACTACGTGCTCGAAGCACCGAACCATTCTCAGCAAAACAGAGCATTAGAGCGGAAAGGGTTCTATAGTTAGGGACCAAATTGTCTGATTTCATGTCTCTGGATATCGTCTCTTATTGATCTCAAATAAGAGACGTCTCTAAAATTTTTTAAGCTTAACTGATTAAGTTTTATTAGCAAATAGTAATAAGAGACCCACTAACATACCCCAATAATCATGCTCTAAATCAACAAAACCAACGTCAAGGTTCGCTTCTACTATTCATGGCTAAACCTATTTATTTATTTATAAAATTTCATGTTTTCTACTCTATTTTGTTTTTTAATTTATGTGAGTTTGATATTTTTTATACATTTCTCTTTTCTATTCAATCATTAAAGTTTTTCAAAATCCATGTTAGTTTTGGATTTCTAAACTTAGTTTCCAAAAATACGGATGCCATTCTTAATTAATTGTATGATTTATTATCAACTAGATTCTCCATTATACTGTATATCGCATTAAGATATAAATGATAAAGATAAAAATTACTAGTATAACAACATACTTGGAAAGTTAACATCCATAGATATTCTCAAATCTCGTGACCCCCCAATTTTATGGAGAAATGTCTTCTGCAGACTGCAATGAAAGCAAAAATACTTTACGGAAATTAAAAATAATGAACATTAGTTTATTGACCAAAAAATATATTTAAAAAAAAACAAAAAAAAAAACACTTTTAACGCAAAGAATATTTCTAAAAAAAAACATAAAAGTTGGTGTTCTATTACTAATCAACTCATTGTTTTTTTCGAACAACTTTATCGTTTGAATACATTAACAATGTAATATTTAAGCTTTAGTCACAAAAACACACAAATATAAGCTTTAGTCACAATGAGTTTTTTTTTTTTTGGGTAAAAATGTTAAAATTTTATATCATTTTCTGAGTTTAAACTGTTACAAAAGTATCTTATTACCTAATCGCCTAAGTGGAGAGGATACAGACAGAAACTACGAGCCAAACAAATTTAGTCACAATGAGTTGTAAGCTTTAGTCACAAAAACACACAAATATAAATTTCTTATGAATATAATTTTTTTTTTGGTATAAGTAAACGCGTACTAATGAATATATGTTTTTGCAAGGGAAAACGGCTAATACCTACATCAACTATCCCAAATAGTGCAAATACATACTTCAGAAATTTACTTGCCCGAATTCATTCCCGAACTAATAAATTTTGGACAATTCATACTTCAATTATCTGTTTTTTGGTGAATGTATACATTGACTCGTTTTCCGTTGTCTCATTCCGTTAACAGAGAAGAATCCTATGCCACATCGACTGTACAATTGGTACTAGAATATAAAACGACGTCATTTGAAAAAAAATTTTGTTCTCTTTAATCAAAACAACGTCGTTTTGATTATTTTTGTTTTGTTCTCATTAATCCAAAAGACGTCGTATTGATATTGAAGAACAAAAAAAAATCAAAACGACGTTGTTTTGATTTAAGGTGAACAAAGAAAAATAATAACCAAACGACATCGTTTTGATTATGGCGAACAAAAAAAATAACCAAAATGACATAGTTTTGATTAATGCGAATAAAAAAAATCAAAACGACGTCGTTTGATTTATGAAAACTCAAAACAAAATTTAGCTTCTTCTTCAACATAATTTCTTTCGTCGTTTTAGGATAGCAGAAGAAAATCAGAATTAGGGATTGAGTTTTACAGAGATTATCGAAATCGAGTGAGGTAGAAGAAAGAGAAGCCTATTTTGAATATGGAGATACATGTAATCTTCTGGGTCTGAAAAAAAATGAGGTAATTTGACGTTTAAGATTTTTAATTTTGGTGAAAATTTTTCATTTTTTTAAAACCAAAACAATGTCGTTTTGATTAAGAAGAACAAAAAAAATTTTAAAACAACGTCGTTTTACATTCCGGTGTCAACTGGTACGAGATTCTTCTCCGTTAATGGAATGTGACCGTTGATTAACAGAAAAACGGGTCAATATATACATCGGCCAGAATTTAAAAGTTCGAATATGAATTTGGGCAAGTAAATTTCTCAGATATGTATTTGCACCATTTGGGATAATTGAGATAGATATCGGTCGTTTTTCCATTTTTCCAACGTACTTTTCTGGATTTTTGTTCTTTCTAAACGTACTTTTGTGGATAGGTTAATCAATTCCACGGTTTTGCTTCATTGTCTGGCTGATAAGTAAACAAAGCTTAATTTACCATTTCCTTGAGCTTAATTAAGAAGACGTTTTAACTTTAAGGACAGCTTCGATAACTGAAACACTCGTATATTATCTACATCCACATCAGATTCTGCCACGCGTCACGCAAATCTACGTTTTAAGTTTTTTTTTTGTCAAACAAGAGAGTTTATAACTTTATATTCAAAATTTCCATGTTAAATGAAAATCACGTAACCATCACCGTTTTCTCTCTATATATTAAAACCCTTTTCCGCTGGATCACAAACTAACAAACATTTAATCTATTAAACATCATTGATTTCACTTCCTTCATTTTTGGTTAATCCTTCGCTAAAAATTCGTAAAGACGATGATGGCAAAAAACGTTTTGGTAGCCGGTGGTGCTGGATACATCGGTAATCACACAGTGCTTCAACTGCTTATCGGCGGTTACTCCGCCGTAGTTGTGGATAATCTCGACAATTCCTCCGTCGTCTCTCTGGAGCGCGTGAAGAAACTCGCCGCCGAACACGGTGAACGCCTCTCCTTTCACCAGGTTCGGTGAATTTTTTTTTTCCGACCTTTCTAGGGCTATGATTTGAAGAATTTTTGCGTTTAGACTGATTTCGATTAATTTGTGAATTCAAAATGAAATCTGGATTTATGATTTGACTTGTTAAATGTTAAGCACTCAATTGATTTCTGTTTCTTTGGGACCTAAATTCTCGGAATAAAATATCAATTTTTGAAGATTTTTATTTGATTGGTATTTCGCTAGTTTTGTAGTTGAAAACTCATAATTTCGAATTAAATATCTTTACCATATGAAAGAGTAAAATAATATTATTCCAATATCTATCTTGATCTGTCTGAAAGTGGAATGTCCTTTCACGAATGCTAATCATATTTTATAATCTTGTTGTTTTTATGCCTAGATAACAAAACAAGAGCTTGTCATTTGTTGAATTTTGGATTGTTTTGTTTAATTACTATCAGAACTTAGAAGAATATTCTTGGATCATGATTTCTTAAAACTTCATTGTTTATCATTAGGTGGATCTCCGGGACAGACCTGCCCTTGAGAAGATTTTCTCAGAAACAAAGTAAGATTGAGTATAAAACCTTTTTTTTTAAATAAAAATAATACTTTTAACACTTTTATCATCAATGATGTGAATATTTTATTTGGTTGTGCATATAATTGGATGTCAGTGTTATTGATAAAATTTGCTTACAGGTTTGATGCAGTGATACACTTTGCTGGACTTAAAGCAGTAGGTGAAAGTGTAGAGAAGCCTTTGCTGTATTATAATAACAATCTCATTGGGACTATTACGCTTTTGGAAGTTATAGCTCAACACGGCTGCAAAAATGTAATTTCTGCACCACATGTCTTCTCAAATCATTTTCTATTTTTGTGTTTGGTTTGATCTCATGATTAGCCAATTTTACAACTCTGTTTCCAGCTTTTGTTTTCATCATCAGCCACTGTCTATGGCTCTCCAAAAGAAGTTCCTTGCACAGAGGAGTCTCCAATTTCTGCATTGAACCCATATGGAAGAACAAAGGTTAGTTTTTCTTTCTTTTTTTGCTTTCAAATCCAAAACCCACCTGAACAAAGTGAACTTGAAACAATGATTGTTTTTTTTTGGGTTCTTGTAGCTATTTATTGAGGAAATCTGTCGTGATGTATACCGATCCGACCCAGAATGGAAGATCATATTGCTAAGGTATTTCAATCCTGTTGGTGCACATCCTAGTGGTGACATTGGTGAAGATCCTCGCGGTATTCCCAACAACCTCATGCCTTTTGTCCAACAAGTCGCTGTTGGAAGGAGACCTCATCTCACTGTCTTTGGAAATGATTACAATACAAAAGATGGAACAGGGGTATGTAATTATATATCTTTATGTTTTCATTAAACAAGAAGAGTTTTTATACATTTTGATCTCATTGTCTTCTTGTTTAGGTTCGAGATTACATTCATGTTATTGATTTAGCTGATGGACACATAGCCGCTCTGCGTAAGCTAGAAGAATGCAAGATCGGTATGATCATAATAACTCTTTTTTTTTTTTTCTCTTCTCTACTGTGAAACATACTCAACTCTGTATAACTCTCTCTCTGTGTTATATTCAGCTTGTGAAGTGTACAATCTCGGAACAGGAAATGGAACGTCCGTTCTTGAAATGGTTGATGCCTTTGAAAAAGCATCTGGGAAGGTACAGAACATAATGCTTTCTTTCGAATCTAAAAGCTTTTTTTTTTTTTTTTGGTGTGTGTGTGTTCTTGATCATATATATGTTGTTGTCATGATTATACTTAAGTTATAATTTTGTTAAAAAAAAATTCTTGATCAGAAAATCCCTCTGGTGATGGCTGGACGTCGTCAGGGAGACGCTGAAGTTGTTTATGCCTCAACGGAAAGAGCAGAAAGTGAATTGAATTGGAAGTAAGTTCATATTTCTTTAATCTAATGTATAAAAACTTTAAAGAAAAGTATTTATAAATTTGACAAAAGAAGAAGATAACTTGAAATAAAATAGTCGTAATTTGGATTGGAACAATGCAGGGCCAAATACGGGATAGAGGAAATGTGCAGGGACTTGTGGAACTGGGCTAGTAATAATCCTTATGGATATGATTTCTCTGAAGCCTGAAAATTCCTTATTTAACCTTTTTTTCAATATAGTATTTGTCTCTATCTAATATTAATTTACAGAAAAAAGAATAAAAAAGATTCAGATTTTAGGAAAATATTGGGGGAAGTTGTGTACTATTATTATCAGTGATATAACTTTATCATATAACGATTTCAATCGATCAATTTATATTTTCAGTCGGTGCGATTTGTTTTTCTTTTTCCTAGGTTTTTTGATCAAAGACCTTGGACAAACAAATTCCTTGCAAAAAAAAAAAGACCTTGGACAAAAGAGAAAGATATAAAGTATACAATATCAAATTTGTTACAGAAGATCAAATCAAAATGTTTAGATTTATACGGCAAAAACAACCTTGAGGTTGAGATGATGTCGTTTTCAAGTCGATATCATAGTTGAAACGTATCTCTTTCCGAAGCTTTAAGTAATGAGCCCACAATCTCTTCCTCCCAATAACTCTTTTACAAACCAACATCACACACTGTGACAGTAACCAAAACTCCAGATCTGAACCCAATTCTCAAGGTTCGTCAAACTTCATTCTGTTTCTTCTGAATTGTTTCGTCTCTGTGATTGATATGATTCTCAATTCGACAACATCGTTTCCTTAGATCGAGCTTGTGTTTTGGAGGTTTTGCTGTTATTTTGTAGGCATTACACAGTCTTATTTTGAAAAGAGTTGATTAGAATCTCAATGGTGTTGAGCAATTATCTGTAGAGTTAAAATCTACTAATTTATACGATTAGGGTTTAATTAAAGCTCAGCATCGCCTTCTTCAGGGTTTTAGATTGAGATTTTTCATGTGATTTCTTAAGAATGTTACTAACAAACACTTGCTTTTTCCATGGCTAAGGCTTTCTCAGTTCAGAGCTAAAGTGGAGGAGGAAGGAGTAATGATCTGTGAGAGAGATGATTTCAGCCTCACTGGGCCATTACACTTAACTTCTATAGATTGGTTTGTATTTTTCTCTCAATCTTCTCTGAATCTTTTGAGGTTTTTTTTGCTAAAAATAAACTGAATCTTTGTGTTCATGAATTGCTGTTGAGTTAGCTAATTTTTTTTTGGCACCATTGGTTTAGAGCTATGCCTCTGGGCCATTACACTTAACAGCTATAGATTGGTTTGTATCTTCCTCTCAATCTTCTCTGAATCTTTTGAGGTTTTGTTTTGCTTAAAAAAAACTGAATCTTTGTGTTCATGAAATGTTGTTAAGTTAGCTAATGTTTTTCGCACCATTGGTTTAGAGCTTTGTCTGTTTTACTGTGCACTTGTGTTTAAGAATCCGAACATTGTTCGTTAATTTGTCGCTCTTCTTGATTCTTCAGGGCTAATGAACACCATAGGAGATCCGTAGCTGCCTCTTTGGTCCAAGGAATCTATGTATCTGAGCGTGACCGTCAGCTACAAAGAGAAGGTCCAGAATTAGCTCTATCTCCTCTATGGTCTGAGTTTTTCGGTTTCCGTCTCATTCGTAAGCTTGTTGACGATGCGGATCACTCCATATTTGGTGGAATCTACGAGTACAACAAACCGCACTCTCAAACCGCCAAATCCCTGGAACTTAGTCCGCGTTTCGTTATCGCGTTTAGAGGAACGGTGAACAAAGCGGACTCTATCTCCCGTGACATCGAGCTAGACATTCATGTCATCAGAAACGGGCTTCACACGACAACACGGTTTGAGATAGCTATCCAAGCCGTGAGAAACATGGTTGCTTCTCTTGGTGATGGTTCGAGTGTCTGGCTTGCTGGTCATTCTCTTGGTGCTTCCATGGCATTGCTCACCGGTAAAATCATAGCTAGAACCGGAGTTTTCCTCGAGTGTTTCGCCTTTAACCCGCCTTTCTTGTCTCCTCCTATTGAAAAAATCAAAGATAAGAGGATCAAACATGGGATTCGCATCGCAGGTAAGTAACTCTTTAGTGTCATTCATACAAGCTCTAGTATTGAACCGTGTAGAAACTTGACTGGTTTTTGACTGTGCAGGAAGTGTGATCACAGCTGGACTTGCTCTAGCCAAGAAAGCTACACAACAAGTTAGCCAAAACCACCGTGCATTACCTGCGCCGCAAGACTCTTTTGCCGCCTTATCCGACTGGTTTCCGAGGCTGTATGTTAACCCCGGAGACCATTTGTGCTCGGAGTATATCGGTTACTTCGACCATCGTGAAAAGATGGAGGAGATTGGGGTCGGTTTTGTGGAGCGGTTAGCGACGCAGAACTCTTTGGGCGGTTTGCTGGTTGATATTGTGAGTGGAGGAAAGAACACTGAAGGACCGGTTCATCTGATTCCTTCTTCGGTTTTAACTGTGAACTTGAGCTCTTCAAGATGTTTTAAAGAAGCTCATGGGATTCACCAATGGTGGAGAGAGGATAAGAGGTTTGAGACCAAAGTTTACCAGTACAAGTGATTGGAATTTTTTTTTAAGTTTTAAAATCGAGTTAACCGGGAATCGGATTCTACTTTCGGGTTTAGCCGGTTCAATGTGTCTTGAAAAAATGAACAATGCTCAGTGATCTATAAGACGACGACGTATTTATTTAGGTGAAGCTTGTAAACCGACTCACATTTTCCCGCTCTCTTTCTCTTTCGCTCTCTCTCTCGCCAGAGAATGTCGATCAAAATTTTCGTTCTTGTTTTCTCTGCTTTGATAATCTTCACGAGACCCAAATTGATCACTGATCATCATCACTTATCTGCAAGGATCGCTCCGTCTCCATCGAAATCTTCCTCGATTAAGCCGTTTATACCTCCATCGCCGCCGCACACGACGGCCCGATCTCCGGCGGCGGAGTCGTCTTATTCTCCTGTACCGGCTTTGTTCGTTTTCGGAGATTCATCTGTAGATTGTGGAACTAACAACTTTCTTGGGACCTTGGCGAGAGCAGATCGGCTTCCGTACGGTAGAGATTTCGACACGCATCAGCCAACTGGGAGGTTTAGCAATGGGAGGATCCCCGTCGATTTTCTAGGTTAAATTTCTTCCCAAATTATTTCTGGGTTTAACTCCAATTACGAGTTCCGTGTTAGTATCAAGAATCGTTTGCTCTTAGTTGATTCTTTCGAAATGAAACTCCGCCACAATTCTTGATTTCGACACTTCTTTATCCTACATAGTGCCTAGAATCTGCATAGAAACTGAGAATTTTGGCTTTTTGTTATCATGTTCATTGATGTTCTTCGTTACTTTTAAAGAAAGATATAGAGAGACTGAGAATTGGTTATTGTCAACTGCAAATCCTGTGAGCAGCTAATCGTCTAGGCCTCCCATTCGTTCCTAGCTATCTTTCACAATCTGGGACTGTTGAAGACATGTTTCAAGGCGTGAACTACGCATCAGCTGGTGCTGGAATCATCTTGTCTAGTGGATCCGAGTTGGTATATACTTAAATCTCAATTTTTCAGTCTTTTGAGTTCGTTTTCTGTATACTATCTTCGAGTATTTTAACTCTTGTGGTGAAATCTTTCCGTTTCAGGGCCAGCGGGTTTCGTTTGCGATGCAGGTTGAGCAGTTTGTCGATACATTCCAGCAGATGATACTGACCATTGGGGAAGAAGCTTCTAATCGTCTGGTCTCAAACTCGGTTTTCTACATATCGATTGGAGTGAATGACTACATACATTTCTACATTAGAAACATCTCCAACGTGCAGAATGTCTATTCTCCATGGCTTTTCAATCAATTCTTGGCTTCCAATATGAGACAGGAGCTCAAGGTTAGATTTCTAGTCAATCTTTATGTGTCTACTCGTGGTTGAGATGCTATAGGGACAAAAAAGTAGGATTCTTAGTCCTAGCGTCTGTTTAATAGCCAAACGCCATAAAAATGAAAGCTTTTGAACTGATCATTACACGCCTATGTAGAGATTCAAAACACAACCTAGAGATCATTGAGTCATATGTACAGTTGTAGAATCCTGAATGGTATCTGAAAGCTCTTAAAGCTGCATATTGATAGCCTAAAGATCATTGAGACATGTGTAATTTCCTCGTCATTGGGTTATATATCATCCTTTGATCTCACCAATAAGAGAATTACTATGTTTTGTTTTCTCAGACCTTGTACAATGTCAAGGTTAGGAGGATGGTGGTGATGGGTTTGCCACCGATAGGCTGTGCACCGTACTACCTGTGGAAATACAAGAGCCAGAACGGAGAATGTGCAGAAGACGTGAACAGCATGATCGTGGAATCCAACTTCGTCATGAGATACACTGTAGACCAGCTCAACCGTGAGCTTCCAGGCGCATCCGTTATCTACTGCGACGTCTTCCAAAGCGCAATGGACATCCTCAAGAACCACCAACTCTACGGTAAGCAACAAAATTCCATCTCAGTTCTCATATTACAAAAGGACTTTGCTTGGTAACAACAGAACATTATAATTTCGTATATAGCATTCTCTTGGGAACTCGTTAAGATATAGATTGAGAGTTCTCTGCCAGTGTCCATAGGCTATATGATCATCTTGGAACCCTGTAATTGCTAAAGAGACTTCTCAGAGTCTTGTTAAATCTTAGTTGTGTGTGTTTTGTGGTCAGGTTTTAATGAGACGACGGAGGCGTGTTGTGGGCTAGGGAGGTACAAGGGATGGCTACCGTGCATCTCGCCGGAGATGGCTTGCCCCGACGCCACCGGACATCTCTGGTGGGACCAGTTTCATCCTACAGACGCCGTTAACGCCATCCTCGCGGACAATGTATGGAATGGTCGCCACGTGGACATGTGTTACCCGACTAACCTAGAGACAATGCTTCATACTTGAACCAGCTGAGAGTGAAAGGAAAAAGATGCACATAAGAAACATACTGTAAATGAGCTTTGCATTTTGAAATTTGGCCCACAGTACATTAGTAGGAAAAGAAAAGCTATGGGGTTGATTCCGGAAAACGAAAAAACTGTGGGGTCTTTTTTTACTTGATAGAAAGTACGTGGTTGAGAAGAAAATAAATAAAAGAGATTTCGAGTTCAAGTTAAATAGTTTTTTACAACGTTGGGCTCAATTTAATTGTATGTTTGCGTAAGTGGCCCGCATGAAACAGAAAGTAATATTATTAGACACAGAAAGCTGATAAAACGACATCCTAGAACACACTATACGTACATTTAAAGCTCAAACATTCGAAATTTGAAGATGATCTAGCTCAAACATAACACGCCTTGCATTAACCTTTACATGGCAAAAATAAAATAAAAAGGTGAACAAATCAAATGGGACTCGTAACTATGACCAACGATACTGGATATAAAAAATCTAAATCAATTTAGTTTGATTCTAATTGGCCAATGTCTGTGATTTATGCTATTTATGCATCACTACCTACGACATTCGCAACTCAACTCTGTATTAGTCTTAGATTCATAGCATACATTATCCACGTTTTTGCTTTCAACAAACAATGGACTCAAACACTAAGAGCAGGTCCATTAGTAAACCCCATGAAGGGGTTCTTTAGAATTTTAAAATAGTAAATAGTGAGAATTTAAAAGTTTAGAATCCTATGAATTTTTTTACCTCCATTGGTGAACTTCATAAAGGTTCTTTAAAAAAAAAATATTTTAATTTGGTTAACTTCTTGTTCTTGATCGTGATTATGTTTTATGTTTATAGAGCTAGGTTACTGATTCAGCAAACGTGAAAGAGGAGGAAGCAAATGTGAAAGAGGAGGAAACTAAGATGATAGATAACAACAATGAGTAAAGATAGGTTTTGAGTTTTCATAAATGTAATAAAACCGACTCGGCTAAGGCTATCCAGTTATAATTCATTTGGCAAAGCCATCTTTACAAATTTGTTCATCAAAACATTGAAAAGATACACATTTAAGGGATACCCAGCATCCAAACTCTCCAGCTATCAAAACAGGATTTGTAAATTTGTAAATAAAAGATCAGCATTACCTTGTGTACGTGATCATCAAAGCATCAACCAGCTTGTATGGCTCGAGCGTCACCTGCTCTGCTGGCTTGTATTCCTCCTGTTGCAGCTTCTTCACTTCGCTCTGAAACACAGCTTCTGCTGGAACCGTTGAGTCGCTACAGTTTGCCTTAATTGAGATCACAAAATGACCACCTGTTTTGAGGAAAACAGGGCCAACTAGATCAGACACATGAGAGACTGTGGTTCCACCTGTTTCAGTCTTTGTTCCATCTTCATTCTGAACAGAGATTCTCCTGTCACAACACATCAGAAACCGTAAATTTGGCTTCACTATCTCCTTCTCTCAAGATCATCACCAGTTGTTCAGCTATCAAAACAGCATTACCCTCACCTACAGCTAGTATACAGAACACATCTTCTGCAATTTCTTTTCCCATGGGATCTCGTCCCGAGAGAAGCTCCACATACAAAGGAATCGAACCAGTTTCGGTGACTGGCGTGATGGAATCACTCCTGCTTCAACCAACTTTAGCCGCTTCTACAAGAAATTTAACCCCTCCTGTATTAATAAGAACGCATCTGCTATCGTCAACAAATACCATCTACTTGAATCGTTTTCCCAGATATTAAGCTCACGAATCACAATCTCTAAACCACCTAACCTAGCCAAGCCAATTCGAATCGAAGATCCAAAATTAACTTGATAATGGTTACCTTCCCTTGGATACTGATGCTCGGATTATTCAACCACTGGTGAATTTTACGGATGTTCCGATTGATTAAAAATCATGGGAGAAGACGACAAGAACAGAAGAAAGAAGAAGAAACAAAAATGATTTCTGCGCGAGGAAAAAAAATTTCTCCCTCAAAATTACACATTTTTTTGTTCAATTCTGCCACGTCACAAAGAAACGGTATCATCATGTTCACTGGGATGAACCGGTTCTTCCCCTTTGAACTTTTTTCCTTTTTTAAAAAATCTATTTTGCATAGGAATCCGAGCCATAAACCCCAAATGACCCCCGGATGAACGTGGTCTAAGAAACAACAAATCCACGTTTTGACCTACACACAGAATCATAACGTCTTTTGTTTCTAACTTAATTCCATACAGATTAAGTCGCGATATTTCCAAAATTATACACAGAATCATTACGTCTCTGTAAACGCTAAAATCAAATGCAATAAGTAGTTAAATCTATGGGAAAAATGGTGAAATTCAAACCCAAATTTGTCAAATCCTTTGCATCTATCCAATTCCTAGTTGACTAGTTCTAAACCATGATTAAATCGAAAATCAGTGTAAGGCTTACAATGCTGAAATCTATGGCGAATAAGAGAGATTTGAATGGATGGAAGCTGGACGGAGATGGCGAGGTTTGACAAAGACGGCGATGAAGCTGGACGTACAGAGCACTACGAGTCTACGACGAGGGAAACTACGAAGCCGACAATAGATGTAGATTCTAAGCTTTTTAGTTAGATTTTTACCGAACATCATACCGGCAAAGTGGTCAACATGCAAACCGAACATCAAACCGGCAAAGGAAACCAATCAAGTATCAATAACTATTTCCCTCGTAAGGAGGAGACTGTTTCTATTACTTGTCTTACTCATAAAAGTTCAGATTCTCGTGTGTCTTGCTCAGCTTTACCGTCTCGTACTCTTGTAGGTTTGGTGGGGTCCCAGAAGAGTACCATCGCGTGGAACTGCCAAGGGGCGGGAGCAAGACCAACAGCCCGTCGACTGGAAGAGATGTGTAGGAGATACGCTCCAGGTTTCTTATTTTTAGCTGAGACAAAGAATGACCGTTTTTTTCTGCAAAATATGCAAGTAACTCTTGGTTTTGATAACCTCCACACTGTTGAACCTGAGGGTACTAGTGGTGGGTTAGCTCTTATGTATTTTAAAGACTATCCGGTTAGGATCTTATTTTCTAATGCTCGCTTGATTGATATTGAGACTATTATTGATGGAAACCGTGTTTTTATGTCCTATGTTTATGGTGATCCTGTTGTTAAGAACCGTGAATACGTATGGGAGAGATTAAGTAGAATTAGTACTACTCACGTTGGTGCGTGGTTCATTGTGGGTGATTTTAATGAAATTACCGGTAATCATGAAAAATGTGGTGGTAAAAGTTGTTCTGAATCATCTTTCTTCCCTTTTCGAGCCATGATTAATTGTTGTGGCTTTATCGATTTCCCTTTTACCGGAAATCAATTCTCCTGGGCTGGTCGTCGTCGAAACGGTCTAATACGGTGTGGATTAGATCGAGCTATGGGAAATGAAGATTGGCATAATGTCTTTTCCCACACCCATGTGGAATACATGAAGATGTGGGCTTCTGATCACAGACCTCTCCTTATCACTATTTCAGACAAGCCAATGCAACTACGTCGTAGCTTTATTTTTGATAAGCGATGGCTAGGTAAACCAGGCTTTCAAGAAGCTGTGAATAATGGATGGAAACCCCACCAAGGAGCCCCACATCCGTCGATTGTTAGTCGTATTCAGAGTTGTAGAAGAGAGATCTCCCTTTGGAAGAAAAGTATAAAATCCAATTCGGAAAAACTCATCCTCGAACTTCAAGAGCAGATTGATCAAGCTAATAATGATGAGAACTCCTCCGCGGAAGCCCTCTTGGAGCTAAAGAGAAATCTAAGTATCGCTTATTTAGAAGAGGAAAAATTTTGGAGAGTGAAGAGTAGAGCCTTATGGCTAAAAGAGAGTGATAAAAATACCAAGTTCTTCCATGCTACAACTAAACAAAGGAGGGCAAGAAACAGAATTCTAGGTCTTCTAGACCTACATGGACAATGGATTGATAATGAAGAGGGAATAGAAAAGATTGCGATTGAGTATTTTCAAACCCTCTTCACTTCCTCGTCTTCAGTATACGTGGAAGGTGTGCTCCGGGACGTTCTCGTGTCTGTCACGGCTTCAATGAATGAGGCCCTCACCAGAGAAGTTTCAGTTGAGGAAGTGAAACGGGCTCTCTTTTCACTTAATCCGGACAAATCTCCTGGACCAGATGGGATGACGACTTTTTTCTTTCAAAGATTCTGGGACACTACTAAGGATGACCTGGTCTTTACGGTTAAAGAATTCTTCCAGACAAGCAGCTTCGATGACAGGTTGAATGAAACGAATATATGCTTAATTCCTAAGGGGGATAAGCCTCGGGAGATGGCTGGGTTTAGGCCCATTAGTCTATGTAACGTGGTGTACAAGGTTGTCTCCAAGCTTTTGAGTATTCGCCTGAAACGGTTCCTTCCGGATCTCATTTCCGAGACTCAATCGGCTTTTGTTGCTGGTCGATTGATTACCGACAATATCCTTATTGCGCAAGAGAATTTCCATGCTTTTAGATCCAATCCTGCTTGTCGAAAGAAATTCGTAGCTATCAAGACGGATATGAGCAAAGCCTATGATAGGGTGGAGTGGGAATTTCTTAGAGTTTTGATGGACAAAATGGGATTTGACCCTAAATGGGTGGGCTGGATCATGAATTGTATAACCTCTGTCTCATATAGAGTTTTGATTAATGGTGTCCCGAAAGGCCACATTAAACCTTCTCATGGAATCCGTCAGGGAGATCCTATTTCTCCACATCTGTTCATCCTGTGTACCGAAGCATTGATAGCTCAACTCAAGCAAGCGGAAAATTCAGGAACAATTTAAGGTATCAGGATAGCTAGAGCAAGTCCGGCCACATCTCATCTTTTATTCGCTGACGATAGTCTTTTTTCTGCAAAGCGGATACGACTCAAACAAAAACAGTGATTGACATTATCCACTCTTATGATGAGGCCTCGGGGCAGAGGATTAACTATGCAAAATCTTCTATTATGTTTGGAAATGATATTCCCCCACTTACGAGATCAAAGATTAAATCAACCTTAGGTATATTCCAAGAAGGGGGAATGGGAATGTATTTAGGTCTCCCTGAAAAGATTTATGGATCCAAAGTTCAAGTGTTCTCATTTGTCCGCGACCGCCTACAGCTTAGGATCAATTCATGGTCCGCCAAATTATTATCGAAAGGTGGCAAGGAAGTTCTTATTAAATCCCAAGCTCAGGCTCTTCCGACTTATGTTATGTCGTGTTTTCTTCTTCCGAAAGCCGTTATATCCAAGCTGAATAGCGCTATCTCCAAGTTTTGGTGGAGTACCAAAGCAGATAATGGGGGGATCCACTGGATAGCTTGGGATAAGATTTGAACTAGCCTAGAGGAAGGCGGCTTGGATTTCCGTGATCTTGGAGATTTTAATCTCGCTCTACTTGGGAAACAACTATGGAGGCTCTTGAGATTCCCCAACTCTTTGCTAAGTCGGTTCTTGAAAGGGAGATACTATAAATACTGCAATTCTTTATAGATTAGTACCTCGAACCGGCCATCATACGGATGGAGAAGCATCATGGCGGCGCAATCACTTCTGCGGTCTAATATCCGCAAGACTATTGGATCAGGGTTCGATACCTGTGTGTGGTCAGAACCATGGATCCCCGACTAACCAGCTCGACCTCCTAAAGGTCTCCAATCCACGAGAGACCCCTACTATATGTTAATTCCTTGATCGACTTCGAATCCAAACAGTGGAAGTTGGAGCTTTTAAGAGAACTTTTCCCTCCGGAAGAAATTAGCCTGATCCAAGGAATACGTCCGAGCCTTTCAATCTCGAGGGATGGATATAGCTGGCCTTTGACCAAATCTGGTACCTATACGGTCAAGTCAGGCTATCTAACCGCGAGAGGCCTCTCTCGTCTAACTTGTGAACCCCCTCTTCAGGGACCGAGTATTTTACTCAAGGTGCAAGTTTGGAAGCTAAAAACCACACGGAAGCTAAAGCTGTGGTGAGGGTGTCAAGTTTTACCCTAAATGAAATCAATAGCCGCAAGTGCACAACTGATCGATTGTAGTACTTAGGGATCGAATCCACAGGGAAGGAGGATCTTTTCCTGCAAAAAGCCTTTGAAATAAGTTAAAGTAAGGAAGTCTAGAACAAAAACGGTTATGTAGGGGTTTGGTAGTGTGTTTAAAATGTAAAAACGAAATATTAAAAGAGAATACGGGAATTAAATGACGTAATAACTAAACTTAACGAAAATGACCAAAAATGATAAAAACGGATATTCTAATGCTTAAATGAAAATCTACTAAAACGGAAAGACAATATTGAACTAGAGCTTGAAAGAAAATCGGTGTAAATCAATGGAAAAGAAGGCGTTGGGTTTCAGGGAAGTTTTCTCAGGGGTACGAACGATTCAAAACATTGCTAGAGAGGAAAATTTGATAAGATCTTAGCTTAAACTTTTCGAACTGGAGTCACGGACGTATGAATACGCCACTGTCGTGATCATAGACAACTATCTCTCTCAACCCTGACCAGTAGGTTTGCACTCTGGCCCTGGAAGAGAAGAGATGCATTATGTTTAAGACTCGTCCTAATTCACAAATCGCCCATAGGTAGGTTTCCACTCCTCAGTTTGTTTTGCTCTCCCAAACTAGATCTGATACCTGATGAACACTTTCGTGTCACCAAGCATCTGGATCAGATTGTAGTTCATGACGCTACTCTCATGCAGTAAAAACGAATTCAGAAGAAAAAGTTCTAAGATTCGGCTCAAAAGCTCATGGAATCTTCATCGAACATATAAGTCCCCATCGAAAATCCCTTAATCCCAACAATAAAACTATTCAGACATAATGAACGAAATCAAAGACATAGTATTAAGAAGTAGAATAGAAACCGAAATTGAAAAAGAAAGAACAAGGGTTCAAGAGAACAAATCTCTCTTTCCCTAAAACCTAAA